CATGCTTTAGCCTTGGTTGTTGTTTATTTGCTTAGTTGTTTAGTCTTGGTTTTTTGTTTGGTTTTGTTGTTTGTTTAGCTTATGTGGACAAGTAGTTTGGGCTTTTTGCTTCATTATAGTTTAGAGCACCAGGGTTTAGTTTATCAGATTTAGGTGTCTTTTGAATTTCTGGGTGGCAGTATAATATGTAGTCTTCACCCTTTAATGGAGGGCAAGTCCATATGTAGCAGCTTGTGAAACCACGCATTTTGCAATATTCCAAATAACCAATCTAAGGACAAATACATATTGAGGTGATTGAAGTAAAAATGTCGAATTATTATTTCATACTGGAAAAAAGTAATGACAAATTAAACTTAAATCCCATGAATTTTAATTTTATTGATATTTTGCTTGGTCAAAGAAGAAAAAATAAAAGAAAAAAAGTGAGAAACTTGGAATAAGTCTTGAGTGACTAGAGAGCACTGGGAGAAATTATATAGGTGACTTTTAAATGTGTGTGTGTGTGTGTTTTAGAGAGTTGTTAGAAGTGTTTGGTTTTTTTCATATAAAAGATGTAAAGAATGCTGGACAGAGGAGAAGATGGGACATGGGAGAATGTGTGATTATGACTAGTTTTTTTTTTTTTATTTTTTCATGTTGAATGATTTTATTCTCTGTAAATAATTGTTGGAAAATTTTGAAATGGATAAAATAAGTTATCTATTGTGTTTCATCTCCATAGAATGACTAGGTTTTACGTTGGCTCGCCAAGCCTATCACAACCCTCCTCCTTTACCAGGGCTTGGGACCTGCTATGTTGAAACAACATAGGGTATGTGAAATTTGTAAACTATATAACATTAGTAATTAAGAGCAAAAAAAATTGTATTGACACTCAAGTGAAAGGATAATTTACATGTTTTGTAAGCTATAATTTTGGTAGTGTTTAAATGGCCCTTCTTGCCAAAAGCTGAGGGGGACTAGGGACTATGCATGATATTTTCAATGTTTGCTTTTTGAGGTTAACTCAACAATACCATAACGAATATCTAATTTAACTATACATTTCCGAAAATGAAAACATTACTCTCTTTACAGTGATAATGAAGACATATGTGATATTTCAACTTAATCTGAGTTTCATATTTTCACTATATATTATAGCTTTATATTTTGTTTCTTGTGACATTGTTTTCCCCAAATAGTTTTTTCAATATAATGTTCTTATTCGAATTGTCAATTTAACATGAACACTTTAGGAAGTATGGATCGTAAGTGGATAAATGCTATGCGCACAAGTATTGAATATGAGAATGGAGTGGAAGACTTTTTGGAGTTTGCTAAGCGACATGATTCCGAAAGT